CAGGGTGCTGAGGCTGGAAGTCCCTGTGGTGTGAGGGAAGGTTCCAGGATTTGTCTACGTCAGGGTTCTCAACCTCTCACATGCACCATCAGAATCCCGACTACCCCCTTCTTCTAGCTTCACATAAACAAGATGGCTGGCCCCACCGCAGCCCTCCTAAATGAGAATCTCTGGTGGGGGGAGGGCAAAGTTCTTACAGGTTTATTTTGCAAAAGAGAGGAGAATTCAGTCTTGAAAAAGGGAACAGGAATTAACTCCTGTGATGACAGGGCCCTAGGCAAATACGGCCCCAGCACTGGCTCAAGGATTAGAGGCTGCAGATGGGAACGTTCCTAGGAAAGGCGAAAATGAGGTGTCAACAGCTATGGGGGCACCCAAACAGTGCTTCTGGCACACCTGTGTTTACTTGAATAAAAAAATTAGCCATTCAAATATTCCCTGTAACATTAATCACTCATAATAAAGGTCAAACCTGCTTTCAACACACAACAAATAATTCCAATACTAAAACTGATTTAATCCCAAAGTATTTGGAGAAGGGGTTATATCCAAAATTGCCTACAGCTGTAGGCCACAAAAAAGGAGTTTGTTTTGACTCTAGTAGACCTAGAAAAGGGGATTTTTTTTTTTTTACCTGCAAAATAGACTCCTCTTGGAAAATGTCTCAAAAACTTCTTATGTATCACACGTTCAGCTTTTACAGAGTAATTTTCTGAGGAATCCTAAACAATTCTCTAGTAGAAAAAGCATCTGATGTGCTAGCATCCACCTACATCAGAATAAATCATTTCTATCTCTCATTAACATGACAAAATTGAAGTATTTATTAGAAATTTGGTTAAAGTGTGAGAATTCCTCAACAGTGTTACAGCTCTTTGTAGCTTTATAGTCTTCATAACTATTGATCATGGCAATTTCAAACAGCAACAAAATGACTTGTCTGTATTGACAAATTGTTAAAAGTGTGTATAAACTAAAAGTAAACTGGTTCTCATAAATGCATAAATGAGGAAAGTGCATGGGTTTAATTTGTGGTCTTTAACATTTTTTGTTTCACTGAATCAACACTTACATGGCACTTCCTGTTTGGGAGGTACTGTTGTAAGTGCTTTAGAAATATTAATTTAATCATCATAATAACCCTGCAAGGAGGAAGGAACTATTGCTACTGCCATCTTTCTTGAGGGAACTGAGGCTCAGAGAGGTTAAGTAACTTCCCCAAGGTCACATGCAGCTAGAGCCAGGGTCCAAACCCAGGTGGCAGTCCTGCTCCAGGGTTTGAGCTATTAACCTCTACACTATGTCAACTCTCTTACCTTCTTTCTAAAAGAATATAAAGATAGAATCAAAGATGGGTATCTACAAACCAGCTGTCTACAGAGGATCGTAGAGGAAAAATGGTTTTTCTTCCCTTTCTATAAGACTAAATGCAGCAGGAGGCCGCGTTCCAGCTTCAGCAAGCCCCCTTCTAACTGGATGTTGGAAAGCTCCACTGCACCCTGGGGGTCTCCCCTCCCACTTCTAGGATGTTCATCCTTCTCTCAATCCCATGTCCTGTTTGATCTTGATTTGTATGGCTCTTACAGTCCTAACTGTTCCTCTTGCCTCCAGCCTGATCGAGTCTATCTTTCCCAGAGTTCAATATGCTCTAAAAACACAAAACTGTTGTCTCATCAATACTCAAATCCCTTCCATGCCACTGCTTTGTTTTGTAGATGAAAGTCCAGCACCTGATGTGCTTGCCTCCTGCTCCTGCCCGAGTCCTTCTCCTGTTCCAAACCTGGCACACAGTAGCTGGCCTCATTCTTTCATCCGTACCCTTTACTGGAGCCATATACTGAGCTGTTTGCCATTGTATCCCTGAAATTTCTCTTCTAGAATTCCTTTTACCCACCCGCCGCCCCCCATGACAATCTGCATCACCAGTCTTCACCTAGATAATTCTAATGATGCATCCTTCAAAACCCAGCTCAAGCATCATTTCTTCTGGGAAACTTACTGTTCCGCCCCGAGGCTGCACGCCCCTTTTCCAGTGATCCTGCAGTAGCCCCAGGCATTCCTCTACTACCCCTTAGCACTACTGATTTATCCCACACAGCCCCCTCCTCTACACACTCCTCATTTACATCAATGCCACTGAGTGCCATCTGATGACCTGACAGCAACACAAACATCACGCAGAAGCCTATTAGATACGCAATTTCCCAAGTCCCACCCAAGACCTGCCAAATCGGAATTTCTGGGGGTGGGGCCCAGCAGTCCATGGTTCTTTCACATGCTGACAGCAGAGCAGCACTGCGCTGGACCGTCGGTTTCTCAGATCACATAGCACAACACCTCTTACTGGTCTCTGTCTCCCTGGCACCTCTGTGACTGCCTGGGATGAAGCAAAAGATCAATAAATGATCAATGAATGAACGAATGGTGGGTTGATCCTTTGAATGATTCATTAAACCTCTGCCTCTTCTGGGGAGCTAAATTATATAGGAAACACTATAAATATTCTTCAGTTCATTAATGCTTCCAAATATTCTTGGAATTTTTCTTTAAGAATGAAGATCTATCACATCTTTTAATTTCGAATTGGTTAAGGCTCAGTGCACTGTTTCAACACTATTATAAAGAGTGCTGAAATAATTCAAAGTTTAGAACCGTTTAAGACAAGCACAAAAATGAAAATTCCCTAAGATATATAGAATGTCTCTCAAAAGTACATTTTTACATAGTCTACAGTGTAGCAGAAGGTGCTACCCTCTGCTTCAAGCTTTGAAAGATTATTTGAGCTTCCTTAAATAGTCATTATCTTTTGACTATTTTTGGAACATAGTAGTTTAGGAAGAAAAATGCAAATTGTATAGCCACAGAAAAGACTGCTACATATCAAAATATTATTTCATAGACTTTTCTGGTTTCTCACAGAACATAAAGTCTTCATACTTTATGCTGCTCATAGATTTATTGCAGAACTTCGTTAACATTAACAAGGCTACTAGTGTGACTTATTTTTAATTTTTTCAGGTGCAATTTCACTCCTCTAAAACCACTGATGTAAAGGAGACAGTCTATTAAATATAAAACTGTCCACCAGTCATAAAAACAAAAAGTATGCCTTAATTTTGAAATAATTTTCAGTACTCTTGTCACATGAAGTGAAAAAAGGATTTCATCTTTATAGTAACTTTTAACACATACCCACTCTGGTTACTTCCAAAGACAGCTTAAAGAGAAATCAGTAAGTAAAAGAGTAAATTAATTTTTAAGGGCCAGTAGCCTCATAGATGACTTTCATTATGTCCTATGTACAGATGTGACAAAGTAAAGAGTGGGTTGTTTGAACTACAGATCTTGAGGTTAGGGACTTTTTAGATGGCAGAATATAAAGTAGCATCTGCTAGTAAAATTGCTGTCCGTTGGCCCATTTAAATAAACAGGCAAACAGGAAACAATAAGGATAGCATCTGAACAAGTAGGAATTATACCCTCTCCACCAGCCTCTATCCTCCAAAAAAGTTTAGAAGAGGCAATGGGAGTGGGGGCGGGTGGGTGAGAGGTGATGAGAAGGGAAATACCCAAGTTGGGAAACTACATCCAAACACTGTTCGGAGATCAGTCTGTACCTGCCAGCGCCTTACACTGCTTGGTGTGTGGCAGGGTCAGCCATGGTCTCCACCTCTTCTTCACATTTATTTCCATCTCACCCACCTGGCAATTTCTTGGTTGAGAAACTTTATGACCAGTGCTTATGTTGGTTATGGAAATAAATGAGGAAATTCTACTTCCCTAGCATTCGTTTTGTTAGAGTACATATTCTGAAAAGTAGAGGATAAATGTAGTCCAAAGGGAGTAGTTGGTCAATAAATGCAAACGGCTCTGAAAAAAATGCTGAAATGTATTAATGAGAAATCCAGAAAGTGTGTACATCTTCTACTGAAGTCCTCAAAAGTACTCATAACCCTGTTCTAATAAACCCTTAAGATAACCAGTTTTCAGGGCTACTTGTTTTGCCTCCAAGTTTCACACCATTTAGTTCCTCAGGAATGCTCTCCTCCTTCCTGTTTTTTCCCAAATTTAAGGCCATGGCTTTCACAAGCAAGTCATACAGTCAACTGGAAATAAAGTGTACTTTGTAGATCCCTAGTCCCAACAATGGAGGAGGAGGATCATTCCCAATTGTCTTGGGATAATGAAAACAAACGTGGATTAAGTTTAAGTAGCAACAAAGAAGAGATAATGGCTTGGGGTTTCCTGGATTAAAGATCTTTGCAATTCAGGTTGTAACTGTGATGAAACTGATGAGAATAGAGAGTTCCAGTTCCTTTATTCTTTGGAACAATTCCAAAACTCTTTTGAGCAGGTAGGCTATAGAAACTGAATCCTGAGTAGATGAAGTGGTTAAGCAAATATACAAGGTTTCACAATAAACTGCAGGAGAAAAGCATCAGAAAAACTGCAGAGGGGAAAAAAAGCATACATATGTACATGTATGAGTACAGGTGTATATATGTACTTGATACATAGAAATATAATTAAAAACTAGTTGAGCACATAAAATCTGCATTCAAAATTCTCATATGGCATTTACTTTTTTATTCCTAGACTTAAGCTACTACAACACAAGAAGGAGCAGCACTGGTCACATCAAAAGTCAGATGTCGTTCAGTATCAACACCTCTTAGAGAAGGGAGATCCAGACATTTGAGCAACTACGGTTTCACAATGGCAGCCAACCACAAATTCCACAATGGGAATATAAATGCATCCATTCACTCCCTCTCAATAACTTAAGAGTCAAGCTTTGAACAATGCAATTGATTAACATATTCATTGTTCTCTTATGTTTTTGCCTCAAGTTTTTACTTCTTCAGGGATCAAAGGTATCTGGATACTGAGCAAACAAATGCTCCTGTGAAACCATCTCTGCAAAATGTAGTGTCACCAAGAGTGCCAGATTAAATTTGTTACTATTTCAAGGGAGACACAAAGATGCTAAGGAAAACAAATCTATGAACTAGTTTTACTTTATTTGCATTTAACATGATTATACACATTCAGGTGTCTAACAAGATCTGCACTGTTACATTAAAAATACAGTACAATAACATTCAACATGAGGTACTTCATATTTATATATTTTTCCTTCATAAATAATGCTGTAAGCTACTAAATCCAAGCACACTGACGCACAAGTGGCCACAGTGTCTTGAATTAGCTGAGCTTATTTAAACACCTTAAAAAACAAAAATGACAGTTCAGTGCAATTATGTAGAAATTAGACCATTTACTTAAATACTATTTTAAGATATGCTTAAAGAATGTTACATTAGAACTGCTAGCCTAGTTCCCCTTTATCCCTAGTAGGAACAATGACAAAGACTGCCAGGTACATTGGGAAAAGCATCTATAGCATATTCTGTTTAATAAAGTTGTGTTTATACATTAGAACTGCCTGCCTTGTTAGAACAATGGTTTCTAGTTTTAAAAGCTACAAAATTCAAAATTACAAAAGAAAATAAAGCAAGCACATTAATCTTCAGTCCACTTTGCTAAAAATGCAGAAGGGAGAATAGGGTTTTGAATGTAAAATTTCTTATTCTAAATACAATTTTCAAATTTTACCCTCAGTTGTAGGCACCAGCCAATAAGATGGTGTATGTGTCTTTTTTTTTTTAAATAATAGTAATTAACATAAAAGTAAGTTCTTCTATAATACCCAGTGTACAGGATCTCATGTGGCTTTCACCAGCAGTTCCCTAGTCACATGGAGGAAGTTAGCTAACAGGAGCAATGACGGTGAGTGTTAGTGAATGAACGATCTTCCCTCTAAGGCTCTCACGCCCACCTCAACAATCTGATAGCATAAAATTAGCGCTAAATACAGTTTCTTTCCCTCTGGCTTACAAAGAGTGCCTTCTAATCAGGTCTACCAATTTGCATGGTAGCTATGAGTTACTGAAAGGTTTAACCATAATTTAAAAACAGAAGCCTTTGTAGAAGTATTTTTTTAATTTGAAAATATGCCTTTATTTCATCGATTTCAGCTTTGCCAAAACTACTACCTATAATCTCCTTAAATAAGAAATATTCATTAGACAATTTTGGAAAGTTGTTCTGGGAGTACTCATTTCATCTGTAATCACCAGTAACAGCTTTTGATCATCTATGCTAACAGACATAGGTAATGGCAAAAGTGATTAAAACATTTCCCCTAATCCAGTGTTTTCCTCCCTCAGGGAAGCCGGCTGAAGGCAGCAAGCCCACGTCTACAGGGGAAGTGGCCCAGAAACACAGTGAATAAGTAAGGCCAGTCACTCGCTGGGCTTTGCTGGGGCCAGCAGGAGGACCATTACTGTCCCACCTCTCAGTAGCCAGGCAGGGAGGAGACAATTCCTGAGTTGGCAAACACACTTGCATGCGCACGGTGGCGCGCAGACACACACACACCCCAGGACTAACCCCTGGCTCCAGACAAGCCAGTTTCAGGCTTGCAGAGCAGGAGAAGGAGGCGGCCAGGGACCACACTCTGGGTGGCGGGGGGAAGCCATCTCAGGATCACACTGAGCAGAAAAGCTGCCCAGAAACACATGGATACTTCAGCTGGAAGTGAACACATTGGACATTGCCAGGGTCACAGGCACTAAACCAACATAAGCCATCAGTGAAGGAGAACTTTTTAATGAGCTTTTCCCTCCTTTGTTTACATTATCCGTGGACAAGTAAGAAAGCTGGATGTGATGCCGATGCAGTGAATATTAGGTATAATCAAATGTGTTGCTCCAGACCATTTTTTGAAAACCTTGCAGGCATATGTTGGCACTTTACAATGGCCAGAGGCCAGATTCTAGCAGTCCAGGGAACAGGACAGAATTATAATTCACAAAGAAAAGAGTATATGGTCAAAGTAGATCAGGTAAAATATATTTCAGACAAAAAAAAAAAAAGAACAAAATATCTTATCACATTAACATGTAGTGCTACAAAACTAATTGTTACTCCATTCATATAAAGAATTGTTTGGTCCTTTTAAGGGGGAATAAAGGAATAGAATTCTATACAGTACAACTTATAAAAACAAGCAAACTGTGGGGATCGAAGGCTAAGTAGAGAGAAAAAAGTTTGGCTTTTTCAATTTGTGTATTCTAATATGAAATCAATTAAGCTATTTGTAGTAAGGGACTTTTTTACGTTTCCTTTTCAAACTGTTTTAGTTTAAATTAGTAGGACTGTAACTTTTTTCAGTTGACAATAAAATTTTATAATTTAGTTACTTCTAAAAGAGGTGTCCGTATTGCAATATTTTGTCTTCTAAACTAAAAGAATATAAATCTGTAGAACTCACAACCTAAACAAATGCCCAATTTCTTATTTTCCTATTTTACACTGATACTTTGAAGCATTTAATATGTAACAATATTATGAATTTAGGATTGAAAAAAAAATCCCAGAAGACAAATTTAAAAGGAATAAAATAAAAGCCAAACATGACTAATGTCTACTTTATACATTATTACTTATCACAAAGCAAAACTTCTTTCAGAATTGTACACTGAGGTTTATCTGCTTTTTTCAGAGTAGAGGGGTTCTGTTCAAAAATAACTCTTATTATTTTAGACTATTTGTTTCTATTTATCAAATAAAGTCCAAAAGGAAATTCAGGGTGATCCAAAATTACCTTCAGAGGGACAAAACTGGGAGGTCAGTGGAACACTTGGAGAGCACAAAATCTCCCCAGGTACATAGACACAACTCTAAAAAATCGCAAAGCCTTAGTAAGAACTTGGCTCTTTTAAGCATATAGTTAAAAGCGGAATGCTGCATTTTTGCCTGTACATAATTAAAAGGTTGAAGGAAATTAGAAACTGCCTACCGCTTCATTCATTACAAATTACCTGCGTTGATCACATATCTGCAGATTAGCTAAGCATCAAGCAAGTAGGGACCAGATGTACACCTCAGAGCTCACACTGTTTGGGGAAGTGAGTTTTCAAGCATAGAATATAAGTTCAGGAATCTGCCCTCCTTGTACCCCAGTGCCATTGGTGCTATCTGAGGAGCACTGAAACTGGACTGTCACTTTGCCACACTGAACTTCTGTCATGCCTTCTTGCCCAAAGTAGCTGAGTTCATTGCCATCCAGTACCACACTGGCTGTGTAGAAGGTGTCTGGCTCAATCTGCACCGGGTACTCAAACCACACTGGGAAGGTATTGCTAGAGCCATCTGAGAAGTACTTGCTCAAGTTCTGCCCCAGGACAACGCCCTGCCGCTTGAGTTCGATCTTGGCACTGTATTCTGCAGAGCCACAGCTGGAACCATACAGCCCAAAGCCAGCGATAAACACTCTTTTATCAACTGCAAACTGGATGCTGTCACAGCGACCCCGATAGCGCCACTGGTTGCTCCGATAGGCACATGACTGGAAACGGTGACAGCGCTGAGGGACAAGGCCCTTTCGGGCTTTACTCACGAACTGTAGCTCGGGCTTTTTGGCTGCAGTATACCAGAGGAAGATGTCATTGGTCTCATTGAGAGTTAATACTCCGGACTGTGCAGCACCATTTGCAAAATCATCGAGGGCCATTGTGGGTATGCGGATCAAGTAAAGTGCCTTTCCTAGGACCTTGCGTTTATTTTCAATGCTCAATGCTAGATCTTGTCGCTGGCATTCTACTTCAGCCCAGTTGAGAGCTGCCTCAAAAACCACGATTTCTTTGGCATTCAGAGTTTCCCTACGGAGGATACTTTCTAGTGTCTGGAAGTCGATATCACAGAATCCCTCAGACTTGAGAGCTAACTCAGCCTGAGCATCAATTACCTCCCAGCAACGCTGGGTCAGGTCTGGCTCCTCGAACAGGCAGCTCTGGGAAAGGAGCACACAGGCGTTCTTGGCGCTCAGGCTGGTCTCCAGGAAATTAACACAGGCTCTGGCAAGGTGAGGGACAATGTACTTTTTGGCAGCATAAAGTGTGGCCAGCACTGTGTCTGCAGCCAAGTCAATTTCATCACAATAGATATATCTGGAAAAAAGCACAAAACATGTAAATAGAATTTTCACAAAATGAGAGTGCCCAGCAAGAAAAGATGCAACCATTTTCAAGTTTGTTCCAAGAATATCATCTTACGTGACAGTTATTACAAACATGTTTAGAGATTAAAGAAACATCTGAAATATATCCATAAATTATTAGTATTTCAACTCAGTAGCAAGTTTGTATAATTAAAGACATTAACTTCATGTTATCATTCTGGCCTCTACTTTATAAGGTACATTCAGCGTCTGCTTAAAAACAGAAAGTATTAACACTATTTGAAAAAGAACCGCATATGAGAGATAGTCAATATTATGGAAAAAACAGCAAAATTCTACTATATATACTATCTTACATTTAATCAAAGATACTGAGAAACTTTCTGCACATTCAGATAAAAACAAATGCCTTTAACACTATAATGGCAACCACAACGATTGCATCCTGATGCTTTTGGAATTTTCTTAAACACAAAATAAAACCTGAAATTAAATGAAATATGTTTCAAGTAGTTCTAAGTTCAATGGATTATCAAATATGGACTTCGATGCTTTCATCCAGTTAGAATCCAAGAGACTTTTGTATCTGTTTTTTCTTAAGCTCTAAACTCCTCCTTCTACCCGACACATTCCTTTCACCTTGAGCATCAGAAAATATATTATTTCCAGATATATTTAATTAAAAGACAAAGTAGGAAAGCTTAAATATGCATTATTTCTATGCTCCTACGAATTGTCCCTATTTCAGGAGATGAAACATTTCCTGGGCAAATGGTGCTGGGGAGATGGTGGCAGTACCAAGAAATGTACCAAGTGGTACATAAAGGTAAAAATCATCTGCTTCTCTTAGAGTGCTACGGGGACATAAGAGAGAGTCAGTGGGAACTACATATTGGTGAGAAATATATGCAGACATACTGGTTACACTTAACTTAAATGTTTCTACCTAAGGTGCACAGCTATGCTATCTGAAGTACTGGTTCAGTTATTAAATTTCACCGTGGTGAAACATATATAACTTAAGAAATCAGCGATAGCTTCTGTAAGAAAGTACAAAAACATAAGGATGGCAATGAGAAAAATGACCACAATCACAAATGCAAGTTGCCTTTTTGCTCCCAGCAAGTCCTTCTCTTCTCTGATAGGCTAAGTCTGCTACCACTGCAAAGCCGCTTGACAATACACCTGCAGCTCAGTGACACCCTGACTGAGGGCCAGGACCCGTAGGGAGCAGCCAGGAGCACGGTGAGCACTTTGTAGCTCTTACCCTGGAACCGTCCAGTGAATAGTTGTCCCCCTTTTTTTGACAACCCCAGGAAACTGGCTTCTCATGCATGCTTTAGGAGTGAGGAAACCTGGCCATCACTATCCCAAGTGTGGCACTAGAGCAAGCGGCACCTGACTCATTTCTGATTCTTACTACTTTCCATGGTGTGCATGTATAATTTTGAAAAGCTATATCAACATATACTCTAGGCAACACATCTGTGAGAAAAGATACTTTTCAAATGACTTAGGTTAGATGTAATTCTTTGCCACTTTTGGTCATGTTTCCTAATTATGTATGTATCTGGAACGACACACATTCTACATGACTGCAGTAAAGCCAAAATGCTGAACTAGTGCTCCCGGTCTCCGCAGCAACAGAAAACATTGCCCAAAATACAAAGCTCACTTCAAGGGGTGGGGATCCTTGCAGGTAAAATTGGTTTCTGTACATATATCCCTAAAAGATTACAAAGGTGAAAAGTGGTGGATTAGTTTGTGTTTTGGGACTTCACATGCTCACTTGCCTTTAATTTCCCTATCTCCCGCTGTTGAAGTCCCAGTCAGCAGCAATTAGATTTCAAAACTGTAATATGAATAAAGAATTAAATACTTTTAAGTTCTAGAATTAACTATAATATTTATTTTTCGGTAGGAAGCAAACATTGTATAGCAACATTTTAACCATTTATGGGACTATTGTCCCACTTGTTGACTCACTGAATAATTTTCAACAAAAGTTTTATTTATTCCAGTGAACCAAAATCCCTAGCGTAGCAGATAACCTTGAACTGATATACTGTGGTGTGCTAGAACACAGTTTAAGAAAAATCACATAAATATTATTTAGAATAGTAACTGGATTTTAATCACATGGTAGACTATCATGTTGTCTAGTACTGGTACATGATAAAGAAGCTGATTCCATCTACCCGGTTAAATACGCTAGAGCCTGCAAAACACCCACTAGATACAGCAGTATTTAAAAAACACATATCACATAGTTGTATATTTCTGTATTACCAATTAAAGTTTTTCTGTATAAATCCACATGAAGCTATAGGAGACTCTCCGTATTTTTCAAAAATTTCTCCTCCAATATAAAATATAAAATGCAAATGCTTCTTATTCTTGAGAAAAGGTATCTGATTTTAGGTAAAAGTATGTGTATATATGTACGCTCAAAGATCAGATTATTTCAACAGATTCTAAGTTTTATATTTGCTGTTAGGAGACCATAACTCTTAGAACACTCAGAAATCTCCCAAATAGTGGCATTTCAATAAGGTGTATAGTATCTGGAATTGTGAAGCAAAACATAATTTTCTTTGAAGACTTCTTCATATACAATGCTTTGAGAATATGCCCTATTAGATAATGCCTATACCAGAAAGTTATTTTTCTTTAATTATAAGTCATTAAAAATCAAATCACAATACATGCCACTTGCCCCCAAATCCTATGTCAAGGTGTGATTACAAATGCCTGCATAATTCCACATGCCCTCCCCTGAGAGATGAAGAGTAGTTTTCTCCAAAAACATTTACAAGGTAAGCAGCACCCTCTTTCTTCATCAGTCTTCTTTTCTGTTACGCAGAACTTACATTTAACTGTGAAACCAGCAGAGTACAAATACAGTATAAACAAACTCTTTCCAAACGTATGAATGATGCTTACTTCAGCATAGCGAGAAAAGCAGCAGGTTCGACATCTGGTATACGGATTTCATCTTTGTCCTCAGCAAGTTCTCCGTAAAACATCGCATGGAACACAGAGCTCCCAACAGCTAAAACATACTGTGTAGAAAGGGAAATCTTATTTCACACACTAAATTGAAAGCACTTCCAGTAAATCAATCCAGAAAAACAACTATAAGCAATCAGGTTTAGGTACGGTATGCTGCTTTGAAAAAGCCAAGGTACAGGGTATCTTGCCATGGAAGCATAAGATGTTCACGCAAAACAGTCTCTATGCTGCTAATTATGTCAAGGCTTTAAGAGATTAATGCACAAGTCCCCTCATTACTACATAAATAAAATAAGAGCTTATATAACTGATTTCTAGAAGGGTAAACATATGACTTTACAAAGCTGTCACAACAACTTCCCATGACTGGAGAGTTAAGAGGGCATTTTTTGTGTGAGATGTAAAGCAGTGTTAGAAGGAAACAAAGAAAAAAATTAAGCATGGCCAAAGCCCTTTGGAGAGGGTACACTTTCCCTGGAATCGGGTAAAACATGCACTGTCTGCCATCAGCAAGCTGCCCACACCAAGTTCCAGGCTTATGGAGAGGGTCCCTCTTTGTAAATCTCAAGACTAAACTGGTCATGCAGCTGTTGCTTACTTTGTGTCCTGGCAACCGCTGAGTCCCACCTGGTGGCCCGACCACAAAATGTACATCTGCCATCAAATCATTATTGAACATTACCGCATTTCTATAAACAGAAGCAACTCATTAATTCACAGCAGCCAGCATTTTTAATATTCTCTTCCCCAGCATACAAAACCCACAAAAGATTCGAAAGCTAAGCAACAGTTTAGTAACTTCAACGCAAAATAACAAAGGTTCTAACTAAACAACTGTGTTTGTAATCATTGCAAATACATAGACAGTAATCAAAGTTAAAAAAAAAGTTATACAAACTTTTCATAAGGCTCAAAACAAATAAAAGGTTTCTATCTTCTATGGCCCATAGACACAACCCTGTCACTTAAATGTTACAGCTTGCAAAAACATTTTTATCTAAGAGGAAAACAGCTGTACTGTTTTGGAAAAGATACAAGGCAGTTTTCCATTACCAATAAAGCTTCTGGGAAAAGAGGAAACACAGATTTGTGTTAAAATACATTACAGGTTATGCAAAAGCAGAAACTTCAACACAGGAAAACTTTTAAAGTAAACATGCTGGCCCGGTACCTACCTTTCTCTAATGGTGGGGTAAAGACCCTGCCAATTTGGGGCCGGTATAAGGTTGTTGTTACTGAGATTCTGCTGGTGGTACTGCTGGACAGTGGTGCCGCTGGAGTTAGCTGGCTTTTTACGGGGAAATATATCAGCAGCCATCTTCTTCTTCTTTTTAGTCTTCAAGGTAATTATTTCATAACAAACGGGGGGCAACTTGCTGCTGCTGTTGCTGCTGCTGCTGTTGGTATTTGCTTTCTTCGAGCTTTTCTTGGACCTGTTCTTTACCGTCTCTGGAAGCATCAAGAAGAAGGTGAGACATTTCATGTTCTTTTCCTTGTCATCTACCATGAGTACAGTGTGTCTCTCTTTATAGTTAGATATCCCAAATTGGTTTGAACATCAAGGAAATGAGGCTAGCCCGAGCTAAGAGGTTAACAGAAACCAACAAGCTGATATTTTGCTTCTTTCTCAGCCAGGCAAGGTGACCTTTTCACTATGTTGAATAGAAACTGGCTTTAAGTTTTATCCAGTACTAGGTCTGTTAAATACATCCCCATCATGATTCCTGTTTCTCTTATTTGCTCATAAAAATAACCATTTCCTAGATCACCTGAAAACGCTACACTGAGTGAAGATGACAGGCACAGAGCTGTAGCACTTGTTTTCTGAATTAGGTTAGCAAGATGTGCCGGAGCTGCGTGAGTCTGCTCAGCCGGCTGAAGTTGTGTGGTGAATGGATCGGAGGAGAGTAGGTATTACAGCCCTGCAGATGGAGTCAGACAGCCAGTGCTCCCAGCCAATAGCTGAAGCCACCAATCAGGATTGGACCAAGCAAAACAGTGACACCTATTGTAACGTGCGTAGTTCTGATATTAAAGGAACAGCAGTTGCATTCTCTTGTCTACTGTATATTTAAATAAGATAAACAACATGTGAAATATATTTGAAAACAGGAAGGGAGGGGTTTATGCCCATAGAATGCTCTCCAGTAGATGTACATTTGTATTTCCCCAGTTAAACAAGCAGGATCAATTAACAAAAGGCAGGGACAGACATCTACTCTGTATTTCTAGTAAAATCTTTTTTCTTGGTAGCATTTGGTTTTAGACACTTCAAATAAAATCTTCCAGTCTAGAAGCTAAAAGGGATTATTAATAGCAAAACCATACTAAACACATTTATTACAGCTTAAAGGCAAGGGATGTTACTTTTCCTTTTCTTTTATTTCATCTCTTTAAATGCAAGTTATATTTCAGTGCAAAGGAAGAGCACTGAGGCCATGTGTTCAGTTTACCTCCCAGTGCTTCCTAGCTCCTACAATGGTCTTTGACAGGAGTCTCAGGTCACAAAACACTGTTAATTAGACTAAGATTATACCAGCATGTTCAAATGCACTGAAGAGTAAGATAAACTCTAGATGTACAAATAAGATTCAAATGCGACAAGTTTGGTAATCAGTGTTTAAAGGCTGTAATTCACTAAAAATATGTCAGATGAGGCCCTGTTCGGGATCTCAAAATCCAACTTAACTGTTACTGTTACATTTAGTCTTGTTATTATTTTAAATATAATCCATAACTTCTAACACAGAGCCAATAATAAGGCTATTCAAAATGATAAATGTTCTGATGCTGCCTACTTAAAACACAAACAGGTTCCCTCCGCTTTAAATTAGAATATAAGCTACTACAGGTTTTTAATAGATGTGAATCCTCCAACAATTTCTGGTTTTGGCAAGTAAAAAAACCAAAAGCACCTGCTGTAGGTCCTACACATGCTATTTATTTGTAAAAGGGACTAATGAAGAGATTTAATCTCACCCCTATCTATCTGGATTACTCTCATTTGTTCAAAGCACAGCAGCCATTTGCTAGCCCCCAGTCAAATGGACCCTTCATGGCCACAGCCCTCCTTGTTGCACAACAGTCATCTGAATAATGACTGCCTGACACAGTAAGGGCTCCGCAAATGGTAGCTACGATTGTTATTATAATTAATAATCTACTAAAGATAGTAAACAAGAAATCAGTCTTTAAATCCCTAGAACCCTAAATCACTAAGTTGGACCAAGGAATACCCTCTTTATTATCACCATTATATCCTCTTTATTATCACCATTTGCAAAGCCACTGCAAAACATGCTACATAAAAGAAACACGGTCTTTAGCACAAGGTGACCCATCTCCACTTTAGACGGACCCTGAAGTGCTGCTTATTTATTACAATTATCATATTCCCAATAGCAGGGCTAACACACACACACACACACACACACACACTTCTAAACCACCTTTAACACACAATGCTAGAGAGAAATCTAGAAACCAGTTTAAAGAGCACATGGAGAAAGGCATGAAGAAGAAACAAATAAGCACCTATTTCAGCTAACTATTCAGAATAGAGTTAAAACTAAAGGATTTCTCTCCTGCTCAACTGTTACTGAACTTCCTGACCACTTCCCATGTAGGAAACCCCACACACCAGGCAGGCCCTTCTGACTGGGATTAATCCCATACATATCTCTAACAAATCTAGTATCTGGCTTTTCAGGTCAAAATCAACCAGAACAGAAAGGAAAACCAGCTGCTTTGAGGCAGATATACTATTAATTGGCAGCTGGATAAACAAAATAGGAAAATAACCATAAAACACAGATATAAGAACTTGGAAGGCCTTGTGATTTTTATTCATTTTGCATGTAGCTCAATACCCATCACCAAGAAAATCTCCAAAAAGCATGGCTCTTATACCAATAAGTTAAAGGAAAAAGTGCATATAATAGTTTGAGAAAGAAAATCATGCAATATTTTAGAAAATGCTCTTTCTGCAATTAAAGATTTCAGTTATTTAGAAAATTTTTATAGAAAAATCCTGAAAATCTAGTTAAACAAAGTAGTGCTAAATATGAATCACCTAGAACAGTGCTGCAAACAGAGGCATTATCACTCGAATGTATGTGGGGACTGATGAACATGGATGTTTAAAATTAAGAAAGAAAAACTATCTGAGAGCTACCTTTTCTTACCACAGTAATAAGGCAGGTAATGCAGGTTTTTGCTACTAACAGTATAATCCAAAGACCAGCAGCAGCAGCATCTCCAGGGAGCCTGTTAGAAATCCAGTCTCAGCCAGACTCTGGATCAGAAACTGCCTTTAACAAGACTCTTCAAGTCGTACGGCATTAAACTTTGAGACAATCTCACACAGATAACTTAGGACTATTATAGTGTCTTCCCAATGATCCAGTATCAACACCTGGTGCCACGTTTTGCATTCAACTGTCAAGTTCAATCAAAGCAATTTAATTTGGTTTGGGCATTAAAAACTCAACCCCTCAGAGCTCATTCTGAAATTCTTCTAACTAGGCCCTAAATGTCAAAATTCTAAGTTTCAGGTGTGCACATAGCCAACTGAGAGGGCCTAAGATATTTGTCCATTCTCTGGAAAGGAAGCTCCAGGCCAGATTATTTCAAAGGATAATGACAGAGATGATTTTAGTGGGAAGAATAAGGGATTAAAAAATTCCAAGTGTGAAGCAGATGAACAACTTAATATTTTAAAATAATCTACTTCACAATTCTATTTTAAAAAATTAGCAATGTGTCACGGTAAAATTAGCAATCAATCTAATTCAGTTCTGATTGGACCATTTACAATAAAACAGAGGGAAGGGAAGATCTGAACAGATCATTTAGCCTTTAAGGTCCTCGGCTTCCTCAGTGATAAAATGAAGAGGATAGTCTAGAATACATGAGTTTCTAGCATTTCACGCTAAATCCACAGAAAGAAACACATTTTATATTCTGACTTAATTAGTACTACCACACAAACACATACAGGCATACAAATCCCAAGAAACAATTCGCAAAACAAAACTTAACTTTTAGCATGTTATATGATATACTGATATTTTCCATTTTATTCCTCTCTTCTTCTTTTTAATGTTTGTCTTGATCCATTCCATTAATCTCATGACCACAAGTGAAGAAACACTGGTCTAGATTATTTCTAAGGGCTTTTAAGGTTTGGCATTCCCGGGTTCTTTTCTATCAAGAATCTGGACCAGGGACCACCAGATGATGAGGGTTCCATGAAACCCCTCAAATGGCCTGTGAAATTGGCAGTGTGCATTTATTTTCTGAAAAGAGAAGCCATAGTCCTCCTGAGTAATCCATGACCCAGAACACAATAAAATGTTATCAAAATCTGAGATTGACTTAAATATACAAAATTTTAGTATCATTTTGTTCTCTTTTCATTTCTATAATCTACTACATTAAATAAAATTTATGGCTTCCTTTCCGCCTTAATTAAATATAAATAGTTAAAACGTCATCTATAGTCTGTAGCCCAGAAACATCACCCACTGGGTTGAAGGATAATAAAGGATACCAGCACATTACCTATTGTCAAATTTTACCTCTAAAATTTCTTTCCAGCTAGCATTCTATCACTTGTTCCTATACCACCTGAATTTTCGAGCTGTTCTGAGGCATGGTTATCTGCCCTAATGAGGTAAATAGGCCAAGAAGCCCATCGATTTTTTATGAAAGTATTTTAAAATACAACATGCTGATATGGGGTGTAATTAGGTTTTGGGTATACAGTGGTGAGCAAGATTAGGAACCAAGCTTAAAAGTTTAGGTAATAATATTGCGTTTCATTTGATTTTATAATTGCTAGAAAGTTGAATCACTTCATTCAATTCCCAATAAATAACAAAATTACCGACAGAATTCAAGCTCACTTAGATCATCCTTTTCACCACTGGAAGTTTTGCCAGCAAATCCCACCTTTACTTAGTACAACCTTATATATTCAGTTTGGAGACTGGAATGAGGTTTGAAATTGAAAGGGATTCTAGAAATTATTTAAATACAACTCTTTTTTCACAGATAAAGCAACCGGATGTCACAAATGTAAGGGGTTTGTGGAAAGTCCATAGCTAACTAGTGGGGCAATGCCTGGCCTAGAAGGCAGATCTCCTGCTTGCCATGCTCTATTTGTTCCACTCACTCTAATTTTCACCTACAGTAATTACCCCACATCCTTACATAATGCTCTATTTTTATATTTCTAATCTACTTTTAAAAAAATACATGTACAAAGTTTACAGAGATGAAAACCAAGAACATATATACCCCACACTCCTGCAGAAGCACACTATAGGAAAGAATGTTGAAAGAATAGTTTCTGGAAAGAAATGGAGAGGAACTCTAACAGGAAGAAAAAGCCTCAAGGAAGCTGCTCAAAAACAGAAAAGGCTCTCCAGGTAAAATGAAACTTAGAAAACCAGCCATTCACGGTTAATGCCAAGTTTAATGTCAACAACTAACGATGCTGGCAACTCTCGTTTAACTTGCTCTAAACTCTGGACTCCTTGTCTGGACTTGTATGTGGTTTACTACAAGACACCTAAAAAGCTACAGCGGTGAGGTTAACTGAGGTTTAAACAAGGTAAGACAGACTGAAGAAATAATTAACACTTACAAAAATTATTATTACAACTTAACAGAGGAGAGTGGTTTAACCTGCTAAGTTATTATGAAATTGCATTTTGTTTTTGCTTATTTTTTCCCTTCAATACCGAGCAAATTTATGCCTGTGATTTGGGAGGTAAAAAGATAGGCAAGAAAATGTTGGCAGTCCCCAAAGACAGCAGCAGCTGCTGGAAAACACACTATATGCTTTCTAAATTTAGAAATAAATATGGAGTCAAACATTGGCAGCATGGTATAATGAAAAAAGCAAGAGCCAGT